AGCAAAATTCGATTTTCACAAAGAACTGGAAATGTATTGAAATACATCGTTGTCCCATCCCTGTTCATCTTTTTCCTAGTAAGGAGGTTGAAGATATGTAAGTGGCAGTGATACTGAGTCAGCCTCGATGCTGGCTGGCTTCATTTCTTGGAAGACCAATTGGTCCGAAGCCTTCAAAATGCGAGCCATAATCCATTCTGAAACGGGAATCCAGCAACTTGCAGCTGATTCCCCAGCAGTTGTTGCAGAGCGGGATGCCAAATTGACACCCGGAAGAGGGGAACGATCGAGTTCCATCCTGCTTGCTTCTTCGAGAACAGGAAAGAAAAAAGCAATTTTTTTTCGGGATTGACTCTTGATGACGGTTGCAAGAATACACTTGGCAATTTGAATTCCTAAGAGATTTGGACATAACTCTTGTTATGACGTGACGTGTTCAAAACATGTAAGTATTTGCAGTATCAGGAGACCTTCAACTTGAAAAAAAAACAGGAAAAAAAATTAAAATCGAGTCACAAAACCTATTGTACACCACCGAAAACCGATGTACCCCGTCCGGTTCTAAAAAACACTGTATTCTTTGACCAGATTGGTCCTCCAGCAAGCGCTGGACCCTCCAATCCCTGCGAAGCTTGGCTATCCTCCTCCTCCTACTGCTCTCCAGCTGCCACTGCAGCACCTTGTGAAATGACTGAAAGTGTACTAAGTAGGTGTTTATATAGCCGTTGAGGTATTATCACAATCACGTTGCAATAATACCTCAACACCGGATCGAACCGTAATAAAGCGGTGCACTCCCTCCCCCTGCCCATCCCCTTCTTCCCCTCCCCCTCTCCTTTCTGCCCTTTCTCTTTCCTCCCCTACCCCTCCCCCTTCTACCTCCATCCGGCTGCCACGGCAGCACCATGTAGAATGAGGCTGAGTGTGTTCGATCGGTGTTTATATACCCGGTGTTATCATGATCATGACATCAACATCACGAAGTGTTGCCCTTCGTACTCCCTGGTTTTGTTAGCGGTTGGTCCGGACGGACAGAACGACACACACCGACAAACCGACACACCAAAGTTGTGGTTTATATAATGAAGTAATTGTTGTGTGGATATCATTTTTTACTGACTAGAAAATGTACCACTATTTCACAGAAACAAACCTTTTTCTAGGGGTAAAATCAAGCAATTCTTCATCCCTAGTCATCTTTATGGCAAGGCTTCGAGGAGCACGCTTGATAGCTTGCTTGACACCAGTGCGTCGTCGCGAGTTCTGAAAATCTTATTCATTATGCGAAGTTTTCAAATTGTGCTTTGTAACATACCACACGAGGTATTCTTTACCCAACCGAAACGGTCTGCACATTGCTTCTGGGGGACGTTCCGTTAGCACAGGCATCTGTGTTTCCCTGTCCCTCGAAGCGTTTCTCGAACGGATGACATGCCGTACAGATGTAGTGCACAACAGGAGCTTCTCCCGATGGCCGTCAAACTGACACACCGTATGGAGTCTGATAACCTCGTCCCGCAAGACGGACAGAAACGAAAAAGTTTCAGTAGTTGACTTCCTTTTATCAAGAAGTACTTGTCGAGAAGTTCAGGATTCGTTTCGTCCAATTCCAAAACACCGTTGGAGCTCATTGAAGCTGATGAGATTGGGAGCTGTAATAGTGGATTTGCAGGTCGACACAATCCATGTTTGCTTTGCCGAATTCTGATCTAATCCCTACCTGCGTTTCATTCCGCTCAGTAGAAGTTGACTCAGTGCATATCGGATCTTCGTGCGTTGGATTCAGCTCGAAATAGTTGTCGCCATTCTTGAAATCACATTTATAAGCCTGCTTTCTTATTTGATGAGATGCATTTAGGATCAACTGTACTCAGAAGACATTAAAACAACAGTTCACGCTAGCTACAGCAATCCCATCTTTTGCAACGGGAGAAGACATGGTGTCCCAAAAATTGCTGGTGCAAGAATTAACTCATGAAAAAAAAGGAAGAAATTGGAAATGTTATAAGAGTTTCGATGAAAGGTGGGGAGCTCTGCGTCGCGATGTTCCTCCTTCCACCCAGGGTCAATCGTCAGTTTGCATTATTCGGAGATCGTATTTGTGATTTTGAGAGAGGGTCGTATTTTGGAAGGGGTCGTGCTTGTAGAAAAGGGAACACTATACGTGCTTACCCCCCCCCCCTGACGGTCATTCTGCAGGGTAAAAGAGAGAGAAGCTCGGAGCAAGTCGGCTGGCCTCAGGAAAAGTACTCTTTCATGGACACCATGCTGATGAAGGCGGAGTGGGGAGAGGAGGGAGAAGAGGGGGTTGCTCGAGCGAATTCCGGCCCAATTTATGGTGGCTTGGCCCCAGAAGGAGAAACGCTCCGACCCCTTCGAGAGGCTTTCCCAAAGCAACCTCTCTTCTCCATCCTCCCCTCCCCTCCCACTCCCACCTTCATCACCATGGCTGCTTCTGAAGAGTACTTCTCCTGAGGCCAGCCGACTTGCTCCGAGCTTCTCTCTCTTTTTATCCTGCAGATTTACCGGCAGGGGGGGGGAGTCAGTACGTATAGTGTTCCCTATTCTACGAGTGCGTAGCGTTTCTCCTCCTGGGGTCAGGTCACCTAAAATTTGAGACGCCGTTCATTCGCTCGGAGCAAGCTTAGGACTAAGCCTAGGCCCAATCATAGGCTTAGGCATAAGCCAATGTGTAAGCATAAGCCTTAACCTAAGTCTAAACCCAAACTTAACCTTAAGCTTCAATGATCGCGCAACTGTGGTGACCTGACCCCAGGAGGAGAAACGCACGTCTCCCGTCTCGTTAAGTTATGGTGTGGATGGGGGGGTGGCGTATCCGAGACCCTCCTTGAGAGGGCCTAAAGAGGGGAAGGCGTAAAAACAAAAGACTGACCCTCCCTCCATCCAGGTTAGTCCTGCGCCTGCAAACTACACATAATTATGTGTACCCACATAATAAATAACTGAAAGTCTATGGAATTGATGAATAAACGCAATACTTCAAGTTTCAGATAGAAATAACTCACCTGTGCGCAAGGCACGACCTTCGTCCCTAAACCTACGATGAAAAGTAGCCAAGTCGTAGGCTGTCAACGAAATGCTTGCCTGAAAACCGATCTTCATTGGGCGAGATGAAGGTTGATCACATTAAACTCACATCAATACCACGTCGGTGTGACTCAAAGCGAGCAGCGATTGCTTTCATAATATGACCCGGTATCGTGAAAAGGTTCCGTACAATACCATCATATACCGAGGCTACCGTATCGCTGATATAAGATGCCTGTAAATCACATTTACCCCAATATCTGAACAATTGCCTCAAAATTCTTCGTATTTCATATGTAATGCTAATAAAATGTAGGAAAATGAGAAGAAAAATGAAGTGTTGGAAATCTCACCGTTTCGCAAAAATGATCTCTACAAATACGAACATTTGTTGACCCAAGGCACAGGTCATACAATTGTTGCGCATCTTGGACATCTATTTTGCGCTTTTCCACCATTCCACATAACATTATGAGAACAGTTTTCTTCGATTTACTTCGACGAAGTTCGTTGCCTTCTCGATAAACACTACAGATACGACAATGCCATTTCTGCATTTTTTCCTGCAGAAACCTATCTATGAGATTTCCTACCGATTCATAGAAAGTGAACTTTCAGACCCTTGAACTCTGTTCACCACAAATACAACGTGATCGCATTTTTCGATATATTGTGACAATATCACACAATATGCCCAACCAAACACAGTGGAGCGTTTGAATACTTTATTTTCAGAAAAAATATCACATTACAACCAATTAGGATTGAGCGCATCACAACACGGTATTGTATAGAGCAAACAGGAGCCCGCCTTCTGCAGTTTCTCATTCTGGACTGCAAAGAAAAGTATTCTCAGCGTTACATTAACAGTCAAGTGAGGTGCACTAAGCTCCAGATGATAGAGAAATCGGGTAGATGCTCGCGTATTACACGTGAGATTACACTGGTCACAGATCATGATAGAGATCGGGAGTAGCTTCACCTATTCCTCAGGCACCTGGTGAATATACTAAGTTCACGTGGTAAAAAAATAAGGAAATCAGGTACGACTTCGCTTGACGTCAACAGGTGTGTAGAAAGAAGTCACCCTGCGATGTCGCGTCCACCTTCGGCCGAATTTGCGCGCCATGTTCGAACGGATTGCTTTGCGTTGCGTTACACTGGTCAATACTCTCGTCGTGCGAGTTGAGCGGCTTATTCCTTTTTTGCTAGTCGTAGAATCTAGAAATAGCAGAATTTTCCAAAACTATGAACACGACCTTACATGCAATAAAAGCCCATCAAAAATTCTGTTCTAGATGCTTTCTGTAGCAACCAAAACGAGAACTGTAGATTTGTCTCGGCAAATTTTTTCACACATTTCGAGGCAGTTTAAACTATAAGAACGGTAGAAGAAAGAGAACTTACCTACCGCAGAGACAGACGAAGCCCCTGAGGATGCGGACCGACAAGTGATTTGCAGCGAAGGATATGCCCTTGGCGACCTACCATGGCCCTCCCCTCGACGTTATCGCACGGTACGCCCAACGACTGACTGGCTAACCACTCGCCGCAGGTCTAGCCCATTAACAGAGAGAGCGTTAGCGTTGAAGAGGGCAGCATCGATGAGTCGCATCAGTGCGGAAATCAACGGGCAATGAAGTGGTACTATTTCTCAGGTTTCTCGTGGCCGCTTCTTATGGTTTCAGCCCGGCACCACTGATTACCATTCCCTGATCCAAATGGGCTGCCTTGTAATCGTAACTTCGGCACCAAATTCGCCGTGGTCCCCCATCATGCCCATACTGAGGGGTGGAGGTTGTCGACTCCCATGCTGACGCTCATACAGGTCTTAATTGTGCAATGGATTACATTCAGAGGCTGAACATTTTCTCATAATCTAGCATCTTTACAGTAACGAACACATGTCCTGCCACGGTGTTTTCATTGTGCGATTCATCGCAACGTTAAAAACTGGCAGACCTTCGCTTCCGAAATCGCCATGTCGCAGTCCTCCCGTGTATTTTCCACTTCTGGTAACCGATCGCTTAGCTTTTGCACGAGAGCCTGAAGTTCGACTACCTAAAAACTTTTGCATTCTAATCAAGTGAAACAAGCAATGACATTTTTGCATTCGTGCTCACCTTTTCACTTAACTCGTATACAATGAGAAGGAGCAGACTCAATCTGTGACTTTTGCAACTAGTCGGATTCCAAGGATTAACTTCCTGAGCTCATACAGAACGCCACTTTCACAACTCTCCGATGGATCGCAACGATACTTGCTTTAGCACATAAATGAATGATGTTCGCATTTTATAAACTTACTCCGAACCCAAGGCTTAGTATATGAGAGCTGAAAGGCCGGGCGACTTGAGCGGTAACATGGCCTAGGTGGATGACATTGACAGTACATTTTGTAAGAAGGTAAGGGGGTGTGCGTGTTTTAAGCCACCTTTAAAAGCAGTTACTTCGATAATTCGATGCTTCAAATATAATAGCGGAACCGATAAATGATGAGACAGTGAAGAAGAAAGCAGAGGGTTGGAGCGAACTTGTGTACGGAGCCTGGCACCGTTGCGAGCAGCGCATCATTCGCAGCACAGGGAACTGCGATGCCATAACAACGAACCTTTCACTCGAGTGGAAACCGGTAGAATCTTCGAGCTTTGCCTGCTTCAATGGAGGGTCTTGAGCGATCCCTTGCGTGGCAGCGTCTTCAGTCCGTTGCCGCAACCTGGAGTTCTGAAAACAGTACTTCTTAGACGATGCAAAATTGTATAACGGCACACGGTAACGTACGACATATCGAGCATTCTCTGTGACTCCAACCACTGCAGTCTGCACATTGGTTCCAGAGGAGGTTCCGTTAGCATGAGTATCTGTCGTTTCCTGTCCTTCGAAGCGTTTCTCGAACGGATGACATGCTGTGCAGATGTAGTGCACAATAGGGGCTTCCCCCATGGCCGTCAGACTTAAGCACCGTACTGAGTCTGATATTTTAGTGCCACAAGATGGGCAAAAACGAAAGAGTTTAAGCAGCTGGCTTCCTTTGATTAAAAATTGCTTGTCGAGCAGCGCAGGACTCGTTTCATCCAATTCCGTAATGCCTTCGGATCCCTCAGTTGAATTTGATGAGGGAGTGAGCTGTAACAACAAATTCAAAAAGCGATACAATCTCCATAATGTGTGGTTGTTTCCTTCAAATCGCCGAATACTCTAGACTGTACCTGCTTCTCAGTGGAATTTGATTCAGGGCGCCCAAGACCATCGCAAACTTCTTCCAGCTCGAAACAGACCTTTTGTTTGTTGATCTTGAAAGATAGAATTTCAAAATGGTAGAAGAATCTGATACTGCGATTATCATTGACAAAAGCCGAACATCTCTTGTTCCAAGTTTAACGAGTGAGTTGTGTTTTGGTTTGTGTGTTGAAGACGGTTACAAGGAAAATTTTCAGAGTGGATTACGGTGGTGGAAACTGGAGGATATGAGGTAGGGGTAAACTATCGTGGAAATTCTCAAATCGGCACAACGGACGATTGACTCGTCATTGTGTCTATGTGCAAAGGCCGTACATGAAACATTCCAGCAATAGGACCTACACGCGTTTCGCTTATCTCTGCCCTCACCAGGGATGCTACCTCGCCGCGCCAAGACATAATATTTCGATGGGTAAATCCGCGAAAAGAAAACGTACGCATAGATCAATAGATACAGTGAGAAAAGCTGTATATCTATCTCTTGTTTAGAGCGACTGGCCCTTAGGCTGGTATCAGAGTCCGCGATCCGTCGCAGGTTTCGCTGATTTTCGCGATTTGCGCGATTCACGCGATTTGCGATTTTCGCGATTTGCGCGAAACCTGCGACGGATCGCAAAAATTGCAAGTGTGTGAACATTTGAAACACTGAATATGAAACAAGTGGAATCATGAGCAGTCGTCATTCAGCCATCACTATCAAGCAGAAGTGGCGGCAGGATTGGAGAACACCTTGCAGTATTGATCGGGCACTTGTGATTTCCGTGCAAATTCGCGCAAAATCAGCGAAACTGCGACGGATCGCGGACTAACACCAGCCTTGGGCCGCATTCGTATTTCGTGCCATATAGGTATTCCGTATTATATTTACAGATGCCGTACCATACTACATTAACGAACGCTATTCTTACCAGTCGGGCCTGTTGCTCGGAGCCACATTGAATTCAATTTGCCACTATCGGCCCTAATCACAGTACAATACTACTTACTTCTGCATCTTCCTTGAACTGTTGGTGAAACGAAACCAATCTGTAGCCTGTCACCTCCGTGTATGCCTAAAAATCGGCCTTTGTCAAAGTAAATAACGAATAATAACGATATGTGCTTACACCAATAGCAAGCCGATGCGACTCAAAACGAGCAGCAATCTCTACCATGAACATGACATATAGTGCTGAGATCCTGCACAGCAGCACCATACATCGAGGTCACAGTGTCACTCATATAATACACCTGCAATCGATATCCACTTTGATAGTTGAATTAGATACTCAAAATTTCGTATCCCTTACCGCTTCGTAGAAATGGTTCTTGCAAATTCGTGTATGTGAATGTAGACTTTTGTTATAGAAGTCTTGTGCATCACGAGTTCGTAGTTTGCCCTTCTCTAGCATTGCACACAACATTATAAGAATAGTTTTTGAAGAGCGAGTAAGGCGCAAATCGCCTTCTTCACGAAATTCACCACAGAAATGGCACTTTTTCATTTTCTCTAAAAAGAATCTACTCGTTCAAATGTCTACGAAATTACTGAGCTTGTAGCCGAGATTGATAATAATTTGGTTCCACTGACTGACTAACAAGAATGAAACTTCAGTAAGTCGGCAAGGGCCTACCATGATCCTGGAGCGTCAGATAAAATGTGTTCTGCACAACAAATGCACAGTTACGCTGAACTTTCGTCCACGGGCAGCGCTCAACCGGAAGGCTTGGATTCAGCGTTTTGTAGTGTTCTCTGGGCACTCTCGCATATGCACACTATTACAGCATCTCTGCTTTCTTTCCTTCCTTCAAAAGGCTTAGTCCTAGAAAGCAGAAAGTATGTGCTTTTCTGTCTGGACTCTCACGCGTTGGTTGACCACTGCCCCGTAACCCTGAACTTTATCCATCAATTGTTATGCAGCATCAAATGTCTCCCTTTGATGGGGAAAATGCTTTTAGAGACGATTAATGCAATACAGTTATGGACATTCAACATCGAAAGTCTGAGCATGGTATAATGTCTTTATGTCCGAAAACGTTACCAAAAGATTGGCAGCGCTCCCTAGCAGTAGCATCCCTATTCAGCCTGGGTAATGAAATTTTTACCAATCTTGCCTCATTGCGAGTCAAGAAATATAAAAAAGCTTCGAATTGACTCGTCCAAACTTAAAAATCAACCAACGGTATGAAAGGGCACTATTACTGCGTCGTCATAAAAAAGAAGACTAACGCTCGGCAATGTTGACCTGAGAAGTCCATAAGTGATCCCTAGTTGATAGGAACAGTCGTAGAACGTTCTCAGGTTTACACTGCTAAAGGGTAGTTTTCGAATACTGAATCATAGCTGTTGCTCGCTAGGACAGAAAACACTTCTTCGCTTCTCGCAGCGCGAAACATTTTTCGCTGCGAGAACCTGAGGTTAAACATTGATCAGGA